TGTTAGTTTATTTTTTCAGAAAGAATGATTAAACCATGAGAAATAGTAAGTGTGTTGATTTTGTATGATACTGTATGTATGATTTTACTGTGTTTTAATTATGTACACCTTCATCTGATGTCTCTAATAAAAGCTGTACAAGAAAGTAAAATGCATGTACGTATCAGTACAGTAGACCTAGTTCTTCATGTTGACCTGTTTGTTACAGTCCCTTGGGTCAACTATAGAGGTTCTTCTGTATAATATGATTGTTTTCCCCTAAAATCTTAGCCGCGTGTGACAAGAAGATCTCTAGGTATCAGAATTGGAGGGGCAGGGGTAGAGAGGGTCTTAAAGGCAGAGCTAGAAGGTTAGGGATTGGGGAAGGGAGATAATTGATCCCAGATAAAGGCTCCAAGGAGCCTCTTACAGTTTCATTAGAGTATAACATCCATATAGAAAAAGACATACAGCATATATGTGCAACTCCGTGAGTTTTCACAAAGTGAGCATTGTCCCCCAGGCCCCTGAATGCACATGGTGGAACTGGAAGGTGGAGCTGGGGCCAGACTCCTGTATGAAGCAGGGCCTCAGAGTCTGGGCCCTTCTGTGGCAAGGAATCCAGGAAACTGATTCTCTAGCCCAGAGAAAAAGAAGAAAGTTCGCCACCTTCCCTGGGCCTTGGGTAGAGAATAAAAGCTTCCCCGGAGGAGTCACCTTTCTGGCTGTGAATTTCTACAGCTTCAAGGAGCAGGATTATCAAGCTGAGAAATTAACACAAACCTTGTCTAAGACTGGGGAGCCCTCTGGGTGTTGGCAGAAGCAAACCAGAAAGACCCCTTAGGGACTCTTTGACCACCCAGGGAGCAGAGTATTCTGTGGAAATAACTGTTCTTGCTGAGTATGAGCTCAAAACAATCAAAAATCGTGGGAGAAAATGAGTGCATTTAGTTATAATACCAGTTCAGGAGCTCCAGATCTTTTTGCACCCCACAGAGTGAACCTCTTGAAACTTAAGCCACATCCCTCTGCTAGACAGAGATCACTTGGGAGACTCGAGGGTTTCCCTGTTCTGCTCAACTCACAGGGCCGCCCTGCTGTTTCTCAATAGCCTGTTATGGGTTTAATTGTGTCCCCTTCCCCAAAAGATATGTTGACATACTCTAAGATACCTTTAAATGTGACTTTACTTGGAAATAGGGTTGTTGCAGATGCAATCAGGTGAAGGGGAGGTTATGGGATGGGCCTTTTAATCCAATATGGCCAGTGTCCTTAGGGGCGGATGGCATGTGATAGCAAAGGCAGAGGTTGGGGTGAGGGATCTGCAAACCACCAGCAGAAGCTGGAAGAGGCAAAGAAGACCCTCTCGTACTGGTTTCAGAGGGAGCACGGCCCTCCTGACACCTGTGATTTGGAGTTTGGAGTTTCACAATTGGAAGATGACCAATTTTAGTGCCTCGTTTGTGGTACTTTCTTGCAGTAGCTCTGGGAAACAGAAAAGCCTCAAATGTGTTCCAGCACTTGCTGGTCCCCTTGCTCGAAAAACCCTCCCCTGGATGATGCCCCTCCCTCCCCACAGGTCCCCACTTAAATGCCACATGTGTCTTACCAAAGGAGCAGTCCCCACCTCTCTCCATTCCTTCGCCACCCTTTATTGATTCCTTTGTCCCTAGCCATCGCTGACATTATGTTATCTTTTATCTTTGTCATGAAATGAGCATCTGCCTTGCCTTCCAGATGATGAGTGCCATGACAGTGGAGACTGTCCAATTCACTGCTGAATGCCCAGTGCCCGTCACATGACTGACACAGAGTAGACTCTCTACCATATTTGTTTCAGAAATGAATGAGCTACTTGAAAGCACAGTTGGTGTTTTTTTTTTTTTTTTTTCTATTTCATTCTTCTATCCTCCACATTCCTGATAGGTGCTCATACGTAGTAGATGGTCAGCAGATTTGTACAGATGGAGTAGTAAGCCTGTCACCACCAGAGGGCTGAAGGCTCTGTGTGCTTAAGCAGTGTAAGTCAAAATGCACATCATGTTGGCCTAGATTTGGTGGCCTTTGTCGTAAAACGATTGTGGGAACAATCGATCAGATTTCTCTGGGTAATCTTTATGCTTCGCCATTTGTCACATGAAGCCACTGTTTTTCTTGCACTGTGTTTCCCCACATGGCCCCCCTTCCTTTCCTTCTTTTTCTGATTAAGGAATCAGAATTGAATTATCTAAATTTAGTTTGTGTAGCTCAGAGGTGCCAATCATGGCAAATAATGAATTAGGGGATTTCCCCCCCTTCCCTGAAGCAGTGAGCTGAAACCAACAAATTCATTTTATTTAGGCCCACAGGCTGAACGCAGAGTATTTGTGACAGGTGAGTGCTTTATTCACTAATTAAGTCACCAGGCCTCAGATAAACCCTCTCCCAATGTGATGGGAGGCCGCTTATCTGTGTCAGCCCAGAGACTGAATTTTTAACCTTCTGTTTGCTGTTTGCTAATGGAATTGGTATATAATTTTGTTAAAAATACATAAGCCACAGGAAAAAAATGCACATGTATATATGAATCTCATATAGTTCTGCATATTTCTTTAACCTTTCAAGAACTTTTATGGTAAACCTGTATTTAGAGTTCACAATTTGTGGTGAAGGGACAGTACTTTCTATTTGTTCTGAAATAAAAATGTAAAGCACATTTCATCTGCTTTTATTTTATAAGAATCTAAATACATACTCATTGGAAGATTGTTGTTATATTTGAGACTTGGAAGAAATAAGCCATAGATAAGGAATAACAACTCTTAGGCTACTCTATTTTTAGTTATAACCCGAGCCCTTAATATATGCGCATCAGGAGGTTCCATACACTGGGAATTCTGACTGAGTATTTTTAGGTCAGTAAAAATGAAAGTACAAGGAGTGCAATGAATGAAATGTTGTTAATTCATTTTTTAAAACATAATGTTGACATATTTAATAAAGCATGTTTTTCTGGACAGATGCAAATTTAACCTATCCCAACCACTGATTTTGTAACGGTGAGATATGGCACCTTTATGCCTTGTCACTACTCACCAGCATTCCCTGGGAGAGGCCAGAAGCTCCTGTTATCTCCACCTAGCAGGAGGGGCCCAGCACCCGGAATGGAGGGGTGACTTATCCAGGGCCTCCCAGAGGGGCCTGAAAAAAACATCCACACCTAAAACCCCTTGCATTTTCTTGCTCTCTTGCCTGGTCTACACTTCTTCCAGCCCAGCATTTCAAGATGCGCAACCCTTTTTATGTGGTTTCTTTAGAAGAAATAGGTTCAGGCTATAGGTAGAGAAGTATATTATTCATAACGATCGCGTCTTTAAAGGGCAACTTAAATACAATTTTGGTTTTGAGGGTAGAGAATTAGCCAAATGTACAGGAAAGCAGTCTGATAACTGGAGCAGGTTTTACTGTCCTTTTTTTCAGAGAACATCTCCTGCCTGGATTTGAGTGTTGGATAGGTCACAGGAAAGACAACCATTTAATCTGACCCTTGACACTGCGCTTATAACCACAAGGAACACTAACTTTAATAATAAACTATTTTAATCAATCGCACAAATTTTAGCTACAGAAAACTGGTTTTCAGCTCAACCTAGTTGAGTTTTACCAGAATGTTCTCTTCATGCTTCTGCCCAAGTATCAGTGAGGACACCTCTGATCCGCTAGTTTCAAATTGCTTTAGCCCCTCCCCCACCCCTTACTTTGCTTGGTTCTTCTAACATTCATCAAGCAAAATACTGTATGTTGTGATTATTTCCTGCATCTCCCCTAACTCTTCACGTTAATTCCCCCTCCCCCGTCTGCTCTGTTCCCCAATATTTTTCAGGTCCACGTAATAGGTACTCTGTAGTTTTTCCGTGGATGGATGATGCCCGAGACTTTTCTGTACCCAGGGCTACTCTTGAGTTCCACAGCGCACTGAACAGATATAGGCAGTGTGGGCTAGTGGGGATGCGGAATGTAGGAATGGCGAAGAATGAGGGGGGTGCTGTCCCTGTGTGTGACACTGGCGCGGCACAGGCATCTAAATTGGGAAGGCGATGCTATGCTCACCGTACTATCCCGCCAAGAAATGCCTTTGCCAGACTGGCCTTCGCTTTTCCTAGTAATCTCACGTTGTTAAGTATGCTTACTTGCCGGTCTCACCTAACTTTGCTACACAGAGATGCTGCAGAGAAACTGAACGATGACACATATGCCTCTAACGTAAAATAATCCACGTTTTCTTCCGAAAACAAAGCAAAACAAAACAGGGTCTGCACATTTGCGAGGTCACTAGGTAGGCAAACTGGAGAACTGAGGCAAAAAGCATCCTTATATCTAAGTAATAGTAAACGAAGCGTCTAATTCTTTGCTGAAGGCCGGATGCGGTGGCTCACTCCTGTAATCTGACGTTCTGGGAGGCCCAGGCAGGTGGAATGGTTGAGCTCAGGAGTTTGAGACCAGCCTGAGCAAGAGCGAGATCCTCCCAACTCTCTTTTCCCCCCTCCCATCGGTAAAAAGAGCCGGGCATTGTAGCGGGCGCCTGTCGTCCCAGCTATCAGGGAGACTGAGGCAAGAGAATCACTTGACCTCAAGAGTTTGAGGCTGCGGTGAGCTATGACGCCGTGGCACTCTACCAAGGGCGACAAAGTGAGAGTCGGTCTCAAAAAAAAAAAAAAAAGTTCTTTGCTGAGTCATTGCGGCTGCTGTCCCTGCCTTGGCCAGGTTGGCAAACGAACCAGGGCATCCGTTCAGCGCAACCAGGAATCCAGCAGCGCTGGTAGGACCGGGAATGGTAGGGAGGAGGTCTCCCTAGCGCGGCTCGTCCAAGCAGCGTCCCGGGCCCCGGCGGACTCTCCAAGAGGCATGTGCCTCCAGTTGGCCCCGCCCCGAAGTCCCGCCCCCCGAGTGCGTCCGGGAGCTCCCAGCCGCTACAGCCAATGAGAGGACGCGCCGGGAGTGGCGGGGGAGCGGGGTTGGGCCGAGCGAGATCCTGCGGCTGGGGACTAGGCGTGAGGCGCTCCTGGCTCCCTGTCAGCCGCGCCGACTCTTGATCCCCAAGCCGCCGGAGGAGCCCGGGACTCGGGCTGCGGCTGCCCCGGTAATGCTTTCCGTCGGCACCAACATGGCTGCGGCTCTGCGCGCCGCGGGCTCCCTGCTCGCCGACCGGCGTAAGTGGCGCGGTGGTGAACGCCTCCGGGGTCCCTGCGACGGCAGGGGCGCTCGGGCCTGGGGGATTCCGGGAGCCGCAGAGGCCTGCGTGGGTAGCTGCGGGCAAAAGGGAGGGTGGCATAGCGGAGAGCGGACGGGGACCGGGACTGGCCCTCCCCTGGGAGGGGCGAGCGGGAGCACCTAGGACCTCGACCTGGGGTCACGGGGAGGGCCCGGGAGTGCTGGAGGAGCGAGTTCAAGTGCTGTAGGTCAGCCAGATGGGCGTGGACAGTGGCTGCATTTCTCAGTCTTGGTTGTCCCCTGCAACAACAGGACCATGCGGTTGATGTGAGCCTTGCATTGCAAGGGAAGGTATGTTAAGGGCCTGCTGCAGAGAGTAGGCTAAGGAAGGCGTAGTCATCCTCACTACCGTGGGCATAGCATCACTCACTCCTCCTTAGAGGTAGGACCCACCTGGGATAGTGATTTCTAGAGATATGTGGAGAACAAATGAGACCCACTAACAGCCTCACGCATTTCTTACGTGAACCGTAAATATAGGTTGTGTCCATAAGATGAGCTGATAGGACTCTGGGTGAGACACACGTGACTGGGTTGGCATTTCCCACTGTGACACCTTGAGCAAGGCACCCAGCCTCGCTTGAGGTTTGGTAAATGTTGTAAAAGGAGAAAAGTAATACCTCATAGGCTTGCCATAGAGATAGGCAGGATACAGGTGGAGCGGCTAGCACTCAGTAGGTTCATAGAGATTCTAAAAATTGCGTTATTAACGTAAAAGGCAGCCACATAGGTGCCTATTTACTGCATTGAACAGTGACTGGACACAATTAGTCCCCCAATTCAACAGTCTGGCTCCTACTTAGTGGGCGTGGAGAGAATCCATTCTGAACCTGCCTATCTCATTACAGGTGCCTTTGTTAGGAAAGTGATCAATGTACAGTGAGGAGACCTCCCTAAGGACACTGGGGGATGAAACGTGTTATGTTTTAAGGAAGCAGCAGCAAGGCCAGAATTGGGGCCGAAAGAAGTATTGAATTAATCTTTTCTTTGACTTTTCTGTGGCAAATAAAGTCTGACAGGCTGTAGATTTTCCTGAGGTCATGGGAGAAGATGTGAAACTTTAAATTACTCATCTTCTAGGCTATTAGTGGACGGGTTCAGAAACCATGGCAGAAGTAGATTCGAAGTCCATTAGTGTTATAGCTTCTGATTTTAGAGAGTAGTTATAACACATAATTTAATCATTCTGGTTAATGGGAAAGGATAAACATTATCTGAGTTGAAAAACAAAAAGGTAGTATTTCTGAAAATGACCCTGACAGTTAAGAGTCGGAAAACAAAGTTTTGTGCTCTATGTGGTCAGTGTATTACAGGATTAATAAGAAACTTCCTGGGGTACTA